TAAAAGTAAAGTTGGGAGATGTGAACCACAAGGTTATAAACCATAAGTGCTCTGCCACCAGTACGGACATCTGATAAGAAACTGTACACCTGTGTCGCCGTCCACATGCAACTCCGTAGATACGGAAAACGTTTCTCCATTTACTCCAGAGCGCTCTGGTACCCATTACCTAGAGGCTGGGTGAACCCCAGGAACCACCCGGTTTCGAACACTGGCAGTGGGCTGCAGCGAGTCGCAGTTGGATTTGAAAGTGAGTCTCCTATGGACTGCGCTAATGCGACCCCTAATAATGAATTAAGAATTATATTCACTATCCACTAGGCCAACCAAGATCACAAATGAAGAACTGAGGAGGGAAAACAGAATGGGCATCAATGGCAAATGTTATCAAAATAAGATGATGGAGATGGCTTGGACATGTTTGCAGAATGCCTTGTGACACTCTGGCAAAAACAGCTCTCCGTTGGACATCAGATGGGAAAAGGAGACGTGGATGACCTAAAGAAACCTGGAGAAGGACAACAAAATGGGAAATGAAGGAGTGTAAACTTATCTGGGATACTATGGCAGCAGAAAAGCAGCAGACCGGCAGCAATGGAGATCACTTGTAAATGCCTTATGTGTCAAAAGCGACATGAAGAGGATAAAGATAGATAGGCCCAAATAATTAATTTTTTTTGTTCAGACTAGACAAAGAAACTAGTCCTGGTATGACAACACCTGATAAGATTACATGCCAGTCCACCTGGTGAAACAGTGAAGGTGTAAAAAAAATCTTACATGATAGGCAAGCTCTGCCCTTCTGAACCTGCCAATACAGGGGAACTAACCTTGGCAAGGAGGAAAGTTCAGACATGATGGCTCAACATGGCTGGTTTTTTTAACCTTTTATTGATCCTGGTAAACCCATATGGACCTCCCAGAAGAATGATCAGAAAGTGGGCAGTTAGTAACTGACTGTAGTATGAAAGTACTTATGGAACAGGGCTTAAAGCTTCTCCTGAACGAAAGCTTGATACAGAAAAGGGAGGAGCTAAATTCTGCAAAATGAGTAGAGGCAACAGCTAGGGGTCTTGAAACCAATTAAGACTGTTGCCAGCACGCCACTAAGACCTCCAGTCTACAGTCATCCTAGATGTGTAAATCATATTTGCAAATTGCTTGCATTTTCCTAGGTTATATGAATATTATTTTATTCCTCTGTTAAGAGTCCAGCTGTGCTATCTACCCCTCCTGAATTATATAAATTTACTTTCTACTTAGAATGTTCTTTGGGTGTATTCGGCTATCAAGGGAGCTGAAATTTCCAACTAAAAATGGTATTACATTAAAGAAGGCAGAATTTGAGAGTCTGTTAGCTATGAAAGATGACATCCTAGCCGACTTCAGCCGCCGGCCGTGTAGTGGTGACTACCAACCGGACTGTGGCCCTCCACTGCCGTGTAGTGGTGACTACCAACCAGACTGTGGCCCTGTGATGTCTTTTACAGATGAAACCCTTTTTTACAACAACCAGGATGCAACGCCTTCCTACAGTCCAGTGATGATTCCACTAGGAAGGCAAAGACAATAGCGAGACAAACACTGTTCTTTGGCCATGTAATGAGAAGACAGACATTGAGGAACATCGTGACAACTGGAAAGATCACTGGAAAAAGAGGTAGAGGCAGACCAAGAGAGATGATGCTGGATGGGCTGAAATGATGGCATGGAGGGATATCATCAAGACAGCTGATCCCGGCAACCAGGGATCGTGATATGTGGAGATGCATGAGCGCCTTTGCCAGGTCGCAGGTGTCAGAAAAACTAGATCAAAAATATAATTTTTGAGATTAGGCTACTGGAACTGCTGCAGTGCAATGCAGAGAGGACCTATTTTAGAAAAATTTGTTTATGATTTTGACATTCTAATGCTGCAAGAGATTATGACGGCAACGTTGCATTATTCGGGGTACAGTAGATACATCAATCCACCGGGCAGGCATAACATGGGCAAGCTATATTAGTAAGAAAGGGAATACTACATTCGGCACTATATATGAATCAATGGAACCAGGGAAATAAACAGCTTCAATAGATACACACTGACACAGGTGGCTTCAAGTGAAACATTGTAAATGTATATGGAAATGCAGTCCTTTGTTAAAAATGAGAGTGGGATTAGAAAAAAGATACTGAAAAACTGCCAGGTGATCATCTTTATATGTATGTGGGGACTTTAATGCACTCAGCTTTGAATGGGATGGATCAGAGAAAAACAGAGAGAGAAAAGCCTTAGAACAGGCTCTGGAGGAGTCAGATTTTGTTTGTATAAACGATGGTAAATCCACAAGAATGGCAATGAGGCCAGTTTTGAAGTCTGATTGAGGTCGGGCAGCAGACTTATAGAACTTTGACTATCATGACAGGACAAAAGGGTGGAGGCACACTATGGAGGGCATCAGTGTGAGACACAAGAGTTCAGACTAAACTGGAGAGAATGTGTATATGTGGAAGGGTGATGAAATATGCTTTCTATGTGTAGATCTAGACACTACGCATATACACTTGCTTCTTTTGTCACAGTTCCCATCAGGGGCAAGGACCAGTCATCGCCTATCCTAAGCAAACAGTCCAGTGTACAAACCTACATTGCATAGTGAGATCAGGAGTCTGGGAAAATATAGGCAGAGTCTCAAATTAAGACCTGCCTGGTGTTTTTTTTAACTAGAATCCAAAGTTACGTTCATCATTTTTCGTGTTCGTAAAACTTATCCTCAAAAGTAATCTCAATTGCTTATTGCTTTAGCTGAAGCATATCAGTACCAACATACCATAAACTAGTCGCCATTTGTTCAAATATTGCAAACTGACAAATGTCATCTAAATGACTGATAGTATAACAAATTATTATAACAAGTTTTATACTACATAGTTTGTTAATTTCCAAGTGCATGTTATTTTATATGTTCAACAAAACTGTTAAATAGAATTACATTTTGTGGGGGCTTATTTTTTCATTCTTTAAGAAGATGAGGGTGTCAGGAGGGGTCATCTGCCCTGTCCAACACTTCACAAATTAAAGTAATTTAGACATTTAAAACCCCTCTCCTTCTCCTGTGGATACCATGTGTAGCTATTGTTAATTTATATTACAAGCCAAATACGGCCACTTTCTTAGATATCTAGGACTTTTTCTGGTATTAACTCAGCTCAGATAACAGTCCAGTTTCTCATGTGGCGTGCTGAAATTCAAACTCAAATACATCATACAAATATTTATCCACGAAGAACCTGTGACATTGCCAACAGCCTGAATTCTTATCCTGAGTCACGACTGAACTACGGGATTGGGGGAGGGGGGGGAGCCTTCTAGATTGCCTAAACCAGTACTTTCCTTAGTGTCTACAAACAAATAAAGCAGATCTATTAAAAGGTAGTATACACAAAGTTCATTTTCTGGAACAAGACCAAATTCCAGAGCTAGAAAAACGAGAACTTTCTGCCCTTATAATAGACAATACATACAATACAATTCCACACTGTTAAATATGTTGCGAGCCAACATCTCAACACTAAAACTACTTCAAAGTGCCTTTTGGTTTATTAGAGGAAATCCTAACAAAGGCATGTGACACCAGCATTATGTGACAGAAGCAATCTTCTGCAAAGAACCTGCTACATGATGAATGAGACAGTGATGAGAAAAAGTGTTTTTAGATAAAAGAAGAATTACTTTTTATTAAGATGTTATTATTTGTTTGTTAAGTAAAAATCAACAATATGTAGGAGATGACAACAAATAATTATTTGTTAAATGGAACTGAAAAACCCCACTGCAAAATTAGATCTAAGCTAGGAAAAAGTTATTCATGTACTTAAATTAAGAGACACAGCTTTTTGTTAAAGTGATTCTGACATAAATCTAACTTTGTTCTTTGTAGCAAAGTTAGCCCATCAAGGCTGATGAGTCAGCATTTTTCTACTGCTTGAGACTTTAAGTTCGCCTATTATCTGACATTTTTTTGGGAGCATTAAATAATTTATAAGAATGCTCAAACTGTAATCCTACCACATAATTTATTCATCTGTAATACTTTTTAAAGTCAATGATTTAGCATCATCTTTACTCATGCTCATATGAAATGAATTACTGAAACTGACATGTTTCCTTTGCTTTACTATGTGCAGTTTTATATCTCCACATAGGCAAATATTCATAGGGTCCTCGTGTAAGTAAATTAGTAGTTGTTTAGAAAATATCCATTTTTAAATAGGGTCTGTTGAAGATTTTTTTTAAAGTCTGGATCTTTTATAAAGTTCCAGTTAAAATTGTCAGATGTGTAGGAAGATTTTCACATAGCATTTCAAATGCTTTCAATGAAACAATCAATTCTAAATGAAAAATTGTAAACTTTTTTTTAATGCTAAAACGGTTTGTTAGTTTTCATTTTGGAATGTATAACAATACTAGTGCCATGCTATTTAACACATGATGAGAAGAGAATCCTCAGGCCCAAATAATTTCACAGTTGAAGAAATAAAAACTAATGATGAAATGGGTATCAATCAGTCATGTGCTGTCTCCGCAATGAAGGCTGGATGCAACAGATCTTCATGACCTGTTGTTTATTCTTCATGTTATCCTCTAATTTGCATTGCTGTCTATCTCTTGCTCACTTGTCTTCAGCTTTTTCATTCAGTATCCTTTATAATGTGACTGAGGTATCTTGCTTATTTCTTAAAAGAAAATAGTGTTGGCAACTTCACCCCCCCCCCCCCCCCCTTCCCCAAGAAAAGTAAAACTCTTTATTCCTCATATCTATTGGTAAGAAAGTACAATCCGTGTGGGCTGACATTTAAAACCAGATACAGTGCCTAAACATACTTCTGCCAAACAGAGTGACACAGATACACATGTACACACACATACATATACACACAATGACAGACACACACATACACAGGGGGACATACTGATAGAAATACATACATATACAACAATATACAATTAAAGATACCTACCTCTTCCCGGTTTCAGTTTTGGTGCAGTGGCCTCCCTCTTTTTACACCCCTCTTTTACTGTTGCCAGTATTGTAGAAGATTTCTTTTTTTTAAGTTTATTTGTTACATTTGTTACTTCAATTTTCTGAGCATGATGTGTAAATCCTGGTGGTCTTATGTAGACAGGACCACTAGATGTACTGCTACAAGGTGAACTCACACTTTCATAATCATGATCATGTTCGTAAGCAAAGTTTGACTGTGACACAAATGAATATTCAGTATGGCTTGGTGAACTTGTTTCATCACATGCAAATATGCCATCACCTTTTTCAATGTTAGTGGCTGATGATGTAGTATTAGTAGATACAGTGTCAACATTAGTTATGTAACTTACATTTAACTGATCACATGTTGATTGTGATGGTGAACATGGAGCTAATAATTTAAATGAACCTATTGAATTTAGATGATTGTTTGCTGTTAACGTTTGCAAATTATCTTCAGCTGTTTGGCATGGAAAACTATATTTTTCATAAGGGAGATGACTACTATGAATCTGTACTATGGCAGTCTCATTGTTAGGATCTGTTGAATTGAGTACATGTTTTGAGTTCACAGCAGTACAATATTTAGTTATTAATGTTTGAGAACTGTCCAATGTATCTAGTCCACTATTTTTTACAAATACACTACTGTATGAATTGGATACAGAAGTAGTGTTTGGTTTAATTCTGGCTCCTGCAGATGAGATGTCATGAACAGTAAAAGAAATTAACGACTGTGGAGTATGATTTGAATCTGATCCGGTATCTTCATTTGTAGATGTCACTTGCCTTGCAGGTTGTGTTTTATTTCTCCCTGAGGTTTTAGGATGCGGTGGTGGTTGTGGTTGCAGTTTATATGAAAATGTTGCACTCATCATGGAGTGGATCACTTCTCTTTAGTGAAGACAGGTCATAACAATTTTCAGGTGCACTATTTGTGATCTGAAATTAAAATAAGAAAAGACCTCTCAAAATACTGTAACATCATTTAAACCATTTAAAAAAATTATAAATTAATCCTTTTAACGTATTGGTCTATTTACCCCACCCCCCCCCCCCCCCCCCCCCCCCCAAAATTATTATATGGCCAGTATTACACCTGCTGCCTTTATGTCCCAGAAAATTTCCTAAAAACTATTTTAGGCTATGTCACCTTAGAGCTTATGTCTTTTTATTTTTTATTTTACTTAATGGGGACATGATTATCTGACCACATGCTAACCACTGTGCTACCATAGCTTACAGAAGACAAGAGTATAAATCAATCAAAGTGATTAGCAGTATAACTTTAAACAGGAAGGATCTAGGAAAATTAAACCAGAGCATGTGAAGAGAATTATACAAATGCAGAAAAAATACTCAGACTGTTTCACAGTTTGGAGGAAAAAAGTTATGTTGAAAATAAAACAAATTAAGAGAGTATGTAGCAACAATTATTTAAAATAACAAGCTCCCTAGTTTACAAGGAGAAGAAAAGGCAAGAAGGAAGTGGATCACTTCTCTTTAGTGAAGACATGTCATAAACATAGTCAGGTGCACTATTTGGGGTGACATACCCCCACACATACACACCCCCACCACATACATACATACACACACATACACACACACACACACACACACACACACACACACATATATATATATATATATATATATATATATATATATATATATATATATATATATATATATATATATATATACATAGAAAAGAAGAAAAGAAATTATATGTTGTTATATTGATTTTCCTCATTTTCTTCTTCAGTATTTCAAGCCCTTGAGGTTCATAGCTGCAAAAATTACTGATCTCCTTTGACCTCTCTGAATGGCCTTTCTGTCTCCACTGCCTTCTTGGTCTACCTTGTGGTCAACTCCCATTAATCTCTTTTGTATATGCAGCTTTGTCTTTCTGCTATCTGGCAGTCTTTCTATATGACCCAACTAAAGCAGTCTATAAGCTTTCATCATGCCAGTAATTAGTGGTGATTTAAACAAATTATGAATTTCTTTGTGTTTTTTCCACTCTCCATTCTCTAGTGTTTTAAAATTTTGATGGGTCTGTAAATATCTTGTAAAATTCTTTTCAAAGATTTTTAATAAGGCTTCTCTTTTAGTTACAGTTTGGGTTTCACATACATAAAGGACAATTGGTCTTATCAATATTTTATGTATTCTGATCTTGTGGTTATGAGACAGACCATTTAACAGAAGCTGTAGGGCATAAAATATTGTAATTCCAAACTGTATTCTATACTGTATTTCTTTTTGTAGAATGTTGGAGCCGTTAAAGTTTGCAATCAAGTACCTATACATTTATTTTTTTTTATTTTTATTATCTTATTATCTGTTTGCATATGGCCAGTTATTTTGTCCCCTCTCTTGGTATTAGCATGCTTTGTGTCTTCTCGACTGATAACTAGTCACATTTGTTAGTTGTTTCCTTTAAATAAGTCTCTAGTTCGCCTTCTCCTACTATGTCATCTCATAACTTAGCACTCTTATTTTTTTCTCTTAAGCATCTCTTCTTTTAGCTTTCTTTTAATTATCTATAGGGCAAAGTTAAAAAGAAGCAGGGACCAGGAATACCACTTGCTTTAAACCAGATGTTATTTGAAAAATAAATTGATTTTCTGCCTCTATATATATTTTTTTTTTTCATTTACTCATTATTCTGTTTTGCCATTATGTCACACAAAGCTTGCAGTCTTTTTTTTTCCCCATTTCAGTCTATCATGTGCAATCACTTCATATCATGGATGGAACTCAGTCCAACACCTTTGGCTTCTCTCATCAACATTCACCTTAGGGTTTTCCTTGGACGCCATTGTTTTCTCAATCCCTATATTTCTCATTTTGGTGCTTGTTTAGTCATTCTGTGTTGTCTTTTCTCAGAATGTGTCCACTATTATTAGTGCCATCTTCTCTGTCTTATAACTGTTGATACTAGTGGTTGCCCATATATTTCTGTTACTTTTTAATACCTATTGAATTCATTCAATTTATGTTTTATCATTTTCCACAGGCATTTTCTTTTTTTCTGTATGCATTTAATTCCATATCTTTAGTGGTTCTCCAACTTTAACTGGCGTGTATTAAAACTGAAATAACATTACAACTGAAAATATATAACATAATTCTAAAAATATACAATTTAAAGTTCCATATTTTGTTTGAGCTTTTAGAAGCTGCTGATGCCTCGCTAGTGTGTGTCAAAATTTCCTTCTTTGTGTTCCTTTGACTAATAATATTACTACCTAAAAAGGTAAATTGATCTGTAACTTTAACTTTTTCTGCCTCTAGTGTTATATATGCTTGATATGGTATTAGTTGTGTCTCTTCAAAACTTATTTGTAGTCCAACTTTGAATGCTATTTTGGCTAATCATCTGTTTTTCTTTTTATGTCATCACTGTTCTTACTTAGCAGAACAATATAATATGCAACACCAAGGTCTTCGAACTTGTGTTCTCCCCACAGGCCTTCTTAAACTTGTGTTCTCCCCACAGGCCTTCTTAAACTTATGTTCTCCCCACAGGCCTTCTTAAACTTGTGTTCTCCCCACAGGCCTTCTTAAACTTGTGTTCTCCCCACAGGCCTTCTTAAACTTGTGTTCTCCCCACAGGCCTTCTTAAAGTCAATGAAATTCAAAATAAGGGATTGGTTTTTTTTTCTTTTACAAATTGCTGTAAAATAAGTCTTCATTAATTATGTGAGCTAAGCTGCTTCTCCCAGGGCTGAAAACCTGCTTGTTTCTCTCTCAGGATTTTGTCCGTTACCCCTTTATTTGGATTGAGAATTATTTTAAAAGAAGTCTTGGACATTACTGATATCAGAGTAATTCCTTTCCAGTTGTTGCTGTCCATAAGATTACATTTCTTTGGAATTTTAACTATTCCTTTTACTGTCCGAAAGACATGTTTAATAAAGATATTTTCTACTCCTGGCATAAGTACTCTGTCCCCTAATCTTGCTTTATTAATCTGTATATCTTTAAATGTAACTCATAGCCACCTTCTTTTATAAGTTCAACAGAAATTCCATCAAAACCAGATGCATTATTATTTTTAAGTAAGCTGTATTATGGCATACAGTATTTCGTCCAAATATGATTCTTCAATCTTTGGATCATATTTTATATCTCTTCTTATAGAAAGTAGTAATTCTATACAGCTGTCATATTTTCATCATACAAAACAATCATTAGAATGTTGAATTAGGAATCAACATCACAGCACTCAGGGACATTTCCACAAGTGCTCCATTTCTACCTTCAGCAGCAAGCACCGAGTGACGTAGTGACATCGCGATGACCTGTTTGTACCTCTGCACTTTTTACTCACTCCCAAAGAATCCTTACAACATCTAGTTTGTCATGCATCAGTTTACAACCAAGTGGTGTAGAACCAGCCAGTCTCTCTGCCTATTTGTTTTCCAACACACTGGCATAACCTTGACAAAATATCTAAAGGATGCTGACTACCCAGGATCTCTGAAGCAATGCTCGCCACCTGTCTCCACTTTTCTCAACATGCTCTGTGAGTCAGTTACAATTACGTCAATTTACAATTACTCTGTGAGTTAGTGACAATTTACAATAACTCTGTGAGTCAGTTACAATAAAATTTACAAATACTCTGTGAGTCAGTTACAATTACTTCCACCTCCATTCCCAAACTAGATGTTGTTGTCTCATATGCAAGGCTTTGCTGCACCAAGTGACGTACATTCTACTATGAATGTACTTTAACTGCCTCTCAACACAGAGCCATCTGTATAGATATTAACATCACCTGGGCAGGAACTGGCATGAATAATTTGTTGAACTTCTGATTCTGCAGCACCCACTGGCCAGTCCCTGCACTCATGGCTCAAAGTGATTAGAACCCTACATATGTCTGATTGTTGCTCAGATACTTTGACCTAATCCTCTCCTCGTACAATATTATCAAGCCTCAACATCATTATCAAGTGCCTTGCCAGGTGGCATAGGCGTTCATGCATCTCCACAGATCTCGGTCTTTGGTAATGTAGATCAACTGCACTAATGATGTTTCTCCAAGCCACTGTCAAAATCATCCACCATCATTTCTCTTGGTCTGCTTTTGCTTCTTCTACCAGCGATCACTGTAGTTACCAGTGCCCCTTTTCTTATCACATGACCAAAGAACTGTGTTTGTTTCTTCTCATTGTTGTTTATAATATTTTACTTTCATTACCCATTTCCAGACAATCATTGTTAGTTATTCTGGCAGTCTAGGGTATTCGCAACATTCTTTAAGAACCACATCTCAGTTGCCTCCAAGCTCTTCTTAATTTATTTGCTCACATTCCAAGATTCATTGCCATATAACAGAACAGGTTGGACGTAACATGAATTGGCATGAATCATGATCAACTTGCAAAAAAAATTTTTGTAAGGAACAAAAAAACACAACAGAGAACTCTAATGACACACAATATTCAACAACAACAAAAATGGTGTCAAACTGTATCTACAGCTTGCACCATTCAAGACCTTTCTCTTTTCAGTCTATGACACCTTAGCTCTATCTAGGGTTTCAGGCAGGAAATACTTTTTGCATGTGGCTACTCTGAGATATGATT